GGCTGGGGTTCCTTGATGTGGCGTAGGTGACTATTCCCATGAACACTTGAGGTTCATCTCGCTTCTTTGGCCATTCGTTTCGTTTCCGCTCGCCCTGTTTTGGTGACTTGGCTTGCGCCCTTTGTTGATGGTCTGTGCGCCTTTGTTGATGGTCTGTGCGGATGTGTGGGGTCGCAATGCTAAAAGAGTGTGGTCTTGGGGTCTTGGTCCAAGATTCGAGCTTGGGAATTAGACCGGGATACATTTTAGCGGGCAGTTCATTGTGAGAGTGATATCCGTACTGCATTACGGTATATGTTCGGCTGTCTTTGAACTGGACCCTGGCACAATCAGCTATGCAAGTTGCAATCAGCTCAGCAACTGGCCTCTTGCCTTTTCCGAAAATTCGTGCATGTTAGATGGATCGTAGTGTCTGAAGTCCTCGTCAGACCGGCTAGAGCCAACACCTGATGGACAAACAGAAGATTCCGGGCGGACGGAATTGTCCGAAATGTCAGTTGATGGTACTGTTCTTCCCGAAATGGCAACTCTCGGATGAGAATGCCTTCAACCTAAGAAGGGCCCGTGCATGCCAAGAGCAAGGCAGGAAGGAACACCAGGTCCCGAGACAAATCACCACGCAGTTACCTCAAACGTGAAGACTCCTCCCAGGCATGTTTGGTTTTGGTCCCTCATGGTGAACACCGTCATGGACAGTCTCTACGTCATGCTCTCTGGCATCGCCAAGGATGGGTCAAGGGCAGACGAGAACATGTGTCCATGACAATCACCGTTAGCATGAATGGTTGTGATATGCTGCAGCCTTGAAAACACCCGACCGCAGAAGCCCGAACCCCTGACCCGTACCGGCATCACCACCTTGCGCCCAATCCGTCAGCCCAAGAGCTTTTGAGGACGCGACAATTGCACAGATCATGTCGCTTCCCTTCCTTCTCATCTTCATGCTGTACAACGGCGCCTGTGCAGATACTCATGGCTCCAACTGTGTTTCAGGATGTTACCTAGGGTTTCTGTTCCTGTCAAGACGAAGCGCCCCATGGTGAGTACTTACCAGGAGGTTTCCCTGAAGTTGGCTGCTGTTCTTGCAGTGAATGAGCCGCCTCCAGCATGGCTAAGCTCTTGGAGACTGACCCGCACACTTCCCGGGTAAAGGGTGCCCTAGCTTAGAGGCGCCTGACACCTGCTCAAAAGAGGGTCATTCAGGCAAGGACATTGTCAAATAGCCTCTTTTGTTGTCAACAACTTTAGACCCCAAACGAAAGTCGAAGTAACAGACATGTAGCAGCCAAGCAATTTGCACCGGCAAAAAACAATTGCTGCTGCAGCCTGAGGTTCAAAATCTGCACAGCCCTACCCGCAACCCTGGGGCCCAAACCACAAAAACTAAACACAGACCTTGCGTTTCTGCATGGCCATGCAAGGGGCAAAGCCCTACAATCCCCTACCTGCATGCACTTAACGAACATGAATTACTGAATTCCCAAGCACTCGTCCCTTGTCACGTATCCAAAATCTCTCAGGAACTCAGGCGGCCATTTCCCAAAGGTTCCTAAGGTCCCTGCGAAGAGAGACTTGGTAGTTTCCCAAAATAGGGGGATATAGACCCCCACATACTGTGATCCTTATTACAGGGATCCTCAACAAGGGTACCCTTCATCTGGGGAAATCCCCCCTTATCCCACTGAAGCATCTCGAGGCTTCACAGTGAGCCGAACAACTTGCCCGAAGTGGCTGCTCTGGGCTCTGGATGTTTCGCCTGTAGCTTATGCGATGGAAGCCATCACGGTGGCCTGCCTGATGATGGGGTTCTGTGCGGTATGTGTCGACATGATATTGAATTCTGAAGAAGTAGGATCGCTCCTGCGTCTGCGTGCGTGGAGACGGTTTCGAAGAGCTTGAAAGTCTTGGATCTCCCAACAAGCAGAACCACCCCTACCAAGCACAATGCCATTAAACCTTCACCTGAAATCCTTTCGCAGATGGCAGCTTCGCAGATTTGTGTTTACGAGGGGCCTCCGTGTGGGCGGGACCGCTTGCTTCCTACACAGATGGTGTTCCCGTTGATGTGTTTGGGTTGCGAGCATTTGCTGTACTTGCATGGGCTGCATGTTTGTCAGCACTCACCCCTATGATCCAAATGTTGAATGCGAAGAGAGAGAGAGAGAGCGCCACTTTGAGTCCGAAGTCTTGCGCCTTGTCAGGGCTATCTTGCAGCCCCCTTCCTCACCACGCAGCAGTTGTAGCGAGCCAGTCGGTTGTGCCAGCGGAGTGTCAGCAAACATCCACTTGGCAGGACGGATTCTACCCTGATACTTGGCATCCAAAAGTCTTGAAGCTGCCTTGCTATAGCTTTTAAGATCCAGCGTCCAGAGCTCTTGGGATGCGAGCATGAAAAGGAATGGGGCGCATTGTCAGCCGTGGAGCAGGAGTTCGTACTTTCCTGCGTCGCAGTCACGAGGTCCAGGCTAACTCAACGACCCCGGTTTCCTGTTCTAGCATGCAAGATGCTTCCTTTTTTTTTTTTTACGCTTTATGGCCTAGGAGTATTGTCCCCGAATTCTGAACAATCAAGATTGTGACAGCAAGCTGTATACCCTGGGGTTCGGATGTAGAGTCCAGGACGCTCTGCAGTCAAAAGCCCAAGCATTGCAGCTGAAACCAGTCCCAATGGAAGGTCTTCATGCTTCTGCTACTAAGGGAATCATTGCCCAGTTCAGCTACAAGCCACAACGCGAGAGAGCGCTCATTGTGCCTTGGTTGCTTCCAGATTCCTTTACGAGCTTTGAGAGAGGAATGCTTCAATCATCTAGTTGCATAGAAGGCGTAGCACAGCGCTCAATGCTAGAACAGATGCATTGCTGGCGCCAAGCGAATTGTCCTCGCAGACCTGAAGCAACAAGACCGTGCTTATGGTCAGATGCCGCATTTATCTGCAGTGTTGTTGTTCTTGTTCTTCAGCAACGTGACCGGGCAATCTAAACGATGTGCAGCATGGATCTTCCTGTGCTGTTTGTTGGTCTGAAGCGATTTCTTGCTGATGTTTGCTCTGTATGCAAGTATTCGTCACACTGCGGAGGCATCTTTACTTCCTGAAGGCAGCTTTGCTCACCAGTATTGCCGCACTGTTCAGCATCACACTATCAGCTGCCAAGGTGATGTGCGTGTGCATCCTTCTCTTCAGAGCAATACATATGGTCTGCCTCAAGTGCTTAAACAACATCCAGAGGTGCGGTGGTTTGCCTGACAGTCTATTGAGCCTTGGGTTCACTTGTTGTAGACTGTGTCTGGGAATGTACCGTTCAACTTGCCAAGTTCTCAGATGATTGCCTTGAAGTTGCCACCCCATCCCTTCTGCACTACACTCAAAAGCCACCTGTCAGATCCATCTGCCATTCCTGGACCCTGCAGGTGACTGTAAAGAAGCGTTTGCCTCGAGTGATGTTTTTTTGTGTGGGACGGCCGTGGCTTTAAAAACCTTGGTCCGTTCCCCCACTGTGTAGTCAGCCATAGACGGCACGAAAGCCGTAATTCGCTCTCTGCCTAGAGTGCCTCAATGTCATGTTGGGCTCAGCTGCTCACAGCGCAGTGGCGCTTAGCCACTGGCGCTCGGTATCAATGCTAGAACAACCAAAGAGTTCCAGGCCTCTTGAGTTAATGTTGGCTCCCACGCTTCACGCAAACCGTGCTTCTGCTTTTCACCGTTGCATGCCCTCTGGCAAAAGGCAATTCGAGAGCACGCAGGTCAATGCACTCTGAAATGCAGAGCCAAATTGACCCTTGGGGCTGAATGCGGCCCTTCAAAGGGGTTGCAAGATTGTGCTTACAAACAATTTCTTTTGAAGTTATACATGTATCGCGAACAATCGAGGCAAGTCAGGCATCAGGTTCTGTTGGCAAGGCATCCTCTGCCCCTCCTCGGATAAGACAAGCGTTGTACCCTGCACCATCCTTCGCTATCGCTGGGTACCTCGGGATCTCCACGAAGCTGCAGAAGGCCAAGTATCAAAGTACGACTTGAATTGCCTCAGCAGCTGGTCGATTGCAAAGCTATGCCATACAGGTTCCTTCGTGTGTTTTCGAAGGTGAAGGATGACAATCCCCCATGTCCCCTTCAACATGCAAAGCACTTGCACGAAGCATCCCCTCGGAGACTCGGAGATGAACAATTAATCTCCCGCGGCACCTGCTGCACAAGGCAGCATTTCTGGGGGGCAGTCAGGGTGAAGTACGGCGATTCCTTATGAGAAGCATGTTTGTATGCTTTTCATCTGAAGCCTTGCTGCAGCACACAATAGCAAATTGAAAGCAAGCATGTCGGGCTGAATAGAATTCTGGAGCCTTCTTCCAAACCCCGAACCTCAGAAGCTTAGATAAGCCAACCTTGCGTAATGCTGAACTGCAAATATGGAAGGTAGCGCAGCTGTCCTCAATGAGTGCATGCTGAAGAGCATTGGGTATTCGTTCTCAATCTCCATCGTCCCATGTCACTGGGCTCTGAGGGAGACAACTTTGCGTAGTAGAACCTTAAACCAATGCCATGATCGCCAACACCCCGCTGTCCCACGCGTGGCATGCAACGCTTCTCGTCGACGACCCACGGCTTTGAAGCGAGCCCAAAAAAGCTTCTGTGGCCTTGATGTCCGCTTTGGTATGCCTGTCTCAGCTCTTCAGCCCTCATCAGCCCTCAGTGTGATTTTACTTGGCAGTTGCCACCAGACAAGCCCTACGCAGCCGGCGAAAGATATTACTTTGCAATGCGACAAGCTTTCACATGCAGAATCCAAAAGCCCGTTGCTTAAAGAAGGGTTTCGGAAGTTCACAGTGCGGCGCGCAAAGTGTGATTCCCCTGCACTGGCATGCAAGGTTGCCGGTGGATCTTGAGCGTATTGCATCGCAGAAGTTAGGCAAGTTTCACGTTCAATTTCTGTGCCTGAACGACATCCTGAGCCCTGCTGCTTGCAGCTTGCACACTCAAGACATTTGCTCTCTTGTTCTCAGCCATGGCTCTGTGCCCTTGCCTTCTTGCTGTCACCTCGTTGGCGATTCTGGTGCGTGGGCAGATCCAAAGCCGACAAGATGCCTTGCTCTGTGCAGCAGAGCCCTGGGGTCGCTACTCTGCCAGTGGGGGACTTTACACCGTCAATGGCGTGCAGTACATGTACAGCTTCGGGGGAGATACCGTCAGTGACGAAGATGGCCGTGGAGGTGTTGTGAACACCAACTGGAGGTTTCGGCTAACGGGAAACGGAACCAAGTGCTGGGAACGCCTTGCCGACAGCCCTGCCGCCGTGGGCTACCGCAGCACGGCGACTATCCTGAATGGGACGCATGTCTACCTTTTCGGCGGTGGCGACGCGAGGCGTGCTGCGACTGGACAACTTTGGAGGTACGCATTGCTCGAGAATACTTGGAAGGAGCTGCTCCCTTCTGAGGTTGCGGGCTCCTGGCCGACGGCACGCTACAAGCATGCTACCATAAAGCTCTCAGAGACAAAGATGTTGCTTTTGGGCGGTCGGAGTGGGGTCACTGTCCTATCTGATGCCTGGCTTTTTGACCTTGAACAAATGTCATGGTCACTTGCAGGTGAGAACATTTTGCAAGTGTATAGACACGGCATGGCCTATGACCCAACCAGGCATGTCGCGTGGATCAACGGCGGGCTGGATGGCAACAGGCAGCGATACGGCTCCCAGCTATGGCGCTGGAACCTCTCCTCGTTTGAGATCGAGCTTATTTCGACAGAGGGCCCTGGGCCAAGTCGATTAGCATCACATGCTGCGGAGTACATTTCAGATCTGGATGCAGTTCTGTTGTGGAGTGGCACCTGCTCCGACGACGTGCAGTTGTACCTCTACAGCATTGCAAACAGCTCTTGGTGCGCGGTATATGCTGCCAACCGCCCTGACAGGCGAGATGCCATGATTTGGGCATTGGATTATCCTAAGTTTTACGTGGCCCAGGGCGATCTCATCTGCCACAATTTCGGGGTTTGTCCCATCGTTGATGTGCACATGTTTGACTTCTCGGCTCCATGGCATGGCTGGCAGATGCTTTACGAGCCGCGGAACGCCCGAGGAACTGGCAGCGAGCCTTTCTGCGATGGCACGAACAAAGGGTCGTGTCAGCCCCAGCCGCTGCTACAAGAACAAGGGGCGCGCATCAGCCAGCCTGCTGGATGCGAGAGAACGTTTATGGACCCGCTGTCAACCTGGCCAGCAGTATCTAGGATTGCATCCTCCAAACCGATAGTCTCTCCTTCTCCATGAATTTGGGAAGTCAAATTCTGAGCAGCAGCCGAGGTATCCAGCACGACCACGCCTGCGACGAGCAGCTCTCAGCCACCTGGTTCCGCAGGGGCTCATCAAGCTGCTTTTGGGCTGGCTGTGGCACTTTGGGCTTGCACCATGGATTTGTAGCAATTAGCTTTTTTCTCAGATGGAAGAGGATCCTGGGCCAATGAGCCAAGATCTCAGCTTGCATTTCCCAAAACAACAAGGGTGGGAGAAACAAATTCAGTCCGGTTTGTCTGATAATCTTCCCCCAAAGAACCCTCTTTCCAAAAGATTGATTTCACATCTCAGCTTCCATTCCGAACGAAAGTGCACCAGCACGAACAGAAAGTCTTGCGGATTGAATCCTCGTCTTGAGGCAAATTGGCAATATAATGTTGCGACATAAATTCACCAGGAAAATCCCGCCCCGCATCTCTGCGTAAAAGAGCAAAAGGGAAAAGAAGGAGAGGGCTTATTGCTAAGGACAGTTTTTGAAGAAAATGTCAGAGAGGTTTGTTTCAACGTAGAAGAGATGCTACTTTGGATAGTCAAATCTAGGGACCTGTGAATCGGAGGAAGCAGAGCAACAATGGAAGACAAGTGAATTGAGCATTCCACATCTTTCGGAGAAATTGCTGGTCCGAATTGGACCGAGACTCGCGACTCACACTGAGGGCACGGAAATCTTCATCTGCAGATCTCTCAGAGGGTAAACATCCTGTGAAAGCCACATTCGTGGGGCAGTGGTTGCCAGGCTCAAAGCAGCATTGCGCGGTCACTTTTTTACGCATTCTACTTTGACACTTTTATACCTTCTTCTGGATGCTTCAGATAAGTCTTGCGTGCATTAAAGTGAAACCTAGAGTGAAGGATGAGAGGGAAGTCAATTTCAATACATCAACTGCACCACCAACGCTAGCATTCTCAAAATGTTCACGCAGCTGTCGCGGCCACGCATCCGATACTCTGGATGAGTCGATACCAGCCGCTCGCTGGCGCGGACGACAACCAATCCTATGGATTGCAGCCGGCCACGTCTCAGCCAAGCAGACCTGACGCAGGTCAGTTCTCAATAAGGGTGTCAGTTTCTGCTCATGGTCCTTTGCAGGTTGTGTTTCAGTTTGAACAGAAGGTACATGGTGAACACAGCACCAACAGAAAGCTTGATGAGTTTCAGGAACTCTCAGGGTTGCCTGGTGTATGTCCTGCCAAGCACACCCCATGCCATACGACGAGGCTTGCGCATGATCTTTCAGTTGCAATCAGCAGAGACCACGGCCTTCACTGGGATACTTGGAACAGAACCTGTGCTACTGTTTCCTTTGGCATTGTTCTTGGAGGGCACTTGCAATTTGGCATGTGTTTGTGCCTGCGCCCAGCAATTCCAGATAAGCATGTCAACGTCAGCACTTTGGGACAGCAAGCGGCAAGTACCAACCCTTAAACCGCATGATTGCAACTTTAGTCAGAGGAGATTTTTGTTTCCACCCAGGATTTTGATTTGCGTCATGCATTGGTGCGATAAATCCTTGCCAGCTGGACCCAATTCTGAGTGGAGACCAAAGCCGTCTGACTCGATCCCCATACCTCACTTGGCCTTGGCGTGCGACTTGCCTGAAACCTTTTGGTTTCAGCAGATACTACCATCTTTTGGGTTTTTTTGGGTGTGTCAGTTGGGAGTGCACGACTTGTCACAGTAGTGTATAGGAAAGATATAGTATGTTGTTTTTTTGGTTGCGTGGTACTGTACTATCCCTTAGTCGATCCGAGAAGTATCCTGTGACATATTCCAGCGAGATAAGGTCAACTTGAGTGTGAAGTCTTTGAGCAGGACCTGACTCATCGAGCTTCTCAGCCGAAGATGCTGGTCACGTTTTGTGTTTTGTGAACCATTTGCTTCAGAAATTGCTCAAAAACTGTGAGGTTTGACTTTTTCCGTTGGGCAACATGGAATTTCCGTTGGAGAAACCTGAGGAGAGCACCCACGAGCTCATGCTGCTCCAGTCGATGAGAATCAACGTAAGTTCCAGCTTCCTGGTGATGTTTTGAAGTATAGATCGTCGACAGAGATGTTGGGCTGACACATGCACACCCTTCAGCTACAACCGAAGTCATTCCATAGATTTGATCCAGTCTGTTCTGACTGGCATTCATGCGGCTTCGGTCTCATCCATGGTGTTTTTTCAAGTAGCACGTCCTTGGGCAAAAGTCCTTACGGATGCGAAGCCTGTGTAGATTGCGTCACTACCTGCGCTGTTTTTGATGTAGCCTTGCTGCCTGTCCTTTCTGGGATAGTCTCTTCAAGTAGTTGCACAGGGACAGTGGGTATGTTGCGCAAGTCGTCCGCTACACACGAGGCCTGCCGTTGAACCGCTTTCCCTTCGACCGACAACAGCTGCGCATTGGCATCACATGTCGAGACTTTCGCTTGGTGTCATGGCACCTGGAAAATGCCCCAGATGACTGGACACCTGGCCACAAAAGCTGTAAGAGTGGCGTTGTATTGTTCTTGCAAAGCCAGAATAGCAAAACGTGAAGGATAAGTAGGTTTCATGAAGCTTGGCGTTACTTGTGATCTCTCGTGAACCTGATTACTATCAGCTTTGACTTTTCGTTTTCGTTGTAATGCTCCACTACCGGGCGCCCTTCGAGGTTCAGCCGGGAGACCGACAAGAGCTGCTTGGTGTCTTCCGAATGTCGCAGCTTCGAACTGGTTTTGGTGAAGCCTTTGGAGTTCCTTGCCAAAACTTTGCAGTTGCCTACGCCACTTCCACGCAGAATGTTTTGCTCCCTTCAAATCTTGACCATAGGTTCACCTTGTCTACAGCCACGGAGGGTCTTGTTAGATTCAAATTCCGAACCACGGCAAGGATGTAGCAGTCCATGGTTGGAAGCTACCAGTCGCTTTTGGCCTGGAAGATCCGAGGCACATTCAAAATGTGAATGCCAGCTATACCAAGATGCTGTTTCTCTTGGAAAGGATCCCTTATCATTACCTTTGGAACTACGTGTTTACAGCCGCTCAGCTTGTAAGGACGCATTTGTTTTCCACATTTGCCCATGAACTTGTCAGTTAGAAATTGTGAAGAGTGTGGCGCTAAGGCCCGTTTTTTTCAAGTACAGTGCATGTCAATGTTTGATGCTGTAAAGTCATTTTGCGACAAGTAAACCTTGTCCAAAACGTCGACCAAAGACTGCGCAAATCAGTAACTGTGAAGCAGCAAGCGTGTGAGTTGAGGAGTATCTTCTGGTGCTGCTTGCAGTGCTCGTGGCTGGTGTTGAGCCAACTGCCGTTGCCGATCGCGCGTCCATTATCCTGACACTCCTACTGGCATCCGTCGCGCAAAAGTTTGTCTCTGCGCAGAATCTGCCGGTCCTCGACTACCAAACGCTGTTGGACGCGCATCTTGACAATGTTGAAAAACCTTCGGGAAGTTCATGACATTTGTAGGGCCGTCACATGAACAGCCGAAATATTCCATGAGAATTCATCGGCGGCTATCGCCAGGTATGTGTTGGTTTCCATCCTTTGGCTCACGGCGTTGTTATTGGAAGTTGGCGTGATGACTCTGGAAGAATTACGTGACCTAAGCGATTGGTGGTTTCATGTTGGAGCGGATCCTTGGCGTGTTTCGAGTTCCCCAAACCGGAATGGGAAACAAGTTGACAAGTGCACTGCAAACTAGTTCGCAAAAGATCTCAAGAGTGTGTTGCTGCGATATACCGTGCAGCCCTGGCAGATTTGCAACGCCCCACACGGAAGCCTGCTGAGAGAAGCCAAGGCCATTTGTTGGACGTTGATCCATTTCGCACTAGTCATTTTCGGCGAACTCGGACTTTTGCAAGTGCCTTGGGACAAAGTTCCTGAGCAGTACTACCACGCTTCAAAAGAAGCGGAGAGCTAAGATGGGCTCAGATGCCGAGCAAAATCGGTTTCGGGCATTGCGTTCCACGCTGGGATATGGTCTTTGACAAGGCTTCAGGGTGTGATCTTCAGATTGTGATTCGCAATGCTGTCAGTGATGTTGATGTCGCTGCTGAATTGGCTCAATTATACCCAAGGCGTCAGTTTCATGTAACATGCGTCGTGGACTCTCCTTGTATGTAGCATTCCCGTCCGTTCCACGAGACCTTCCAGGACAGTAACGTTCATCGAGTTTTAGACAACGAGAGATGACGACAGCCCTTCCGCTCCCAAGACCCTTTCTAAACCAATGTGATTTTTTTTTGGGGGGGTGGGTGGGCTTCCTCATTCGGTCCTGATGAAACAGTTGAGCTGTTTATTCCTTGATCTCTGGAGAAGAGGGCATCTTTGTAGCATGTCGCGCACCCTGTGAGGTTCTGAGCATCAAGAAGAGATCTGGTAGAAAGAGCTTGCTCCTGCTCGTGGAGATGAGATCTAAGCTTTGAGACGGGAGTAGCTAGGCGTGGATCGGCGACCGGCCTAACAGTGTCATCATGTTTAGGCACCTGATGCCCCCACAGAGCACTTGAGCCTAAAAGGATTGAGGATATGATGTTCATGTTCCTTGAGGCTTATGCACAAGTCTGGCATGTCTCTCGTGGCTTCCGGCTTATGACCCGCAAGCTAGCGAGGACACGCTTACCTGCACTACCAACAGGAGCCATGCCGATCACTTGCCGAATCTGCGGAGCCACCAACAATCACTTGACTGTGCACTGCCCTGACCGCCCAGATCGCGACAGCAGTGAAGCGAAGCAACAGCAGAAAGCGCCTTCCAAGGCAAGTGGAAACAATGGAAAGAATGGACGCTCAAGCGGATATGGCACAGGCGTCGGTGAAAAGGTGGGAGACAGGTGTCAGCAACTTGCACAGCAGGCGGCTGACCAAGACAGCAAGCCATGGATCAGACATAAGTGCGCGGGCAACGAAGCTGCAACACGGAGGTTCATGCGAATAAGGCCGTCGGCTGTGAACTTTAGCCAGTTTGGCCATCTTTACACCTTTCGAGAAAAGAAAGAAAAGAGCTGCAAAAAAAATGTTAAGGGACTACAAGCTGAGTGGACCCAAATGGCGGCACGGCGAGACCTGTCAATTGCAGATCTTGAGGATGGCCTTGAGCAGCTTTCTGCTCGACACGGCGTTCAGGAGGGAAAGTGGTTGTTTTTCCTGCCGTGTGAGGACATGGACAGGGTCTGGCCAGAGCTCGTCTGGGCACTTAGTATGGAGGCCCTGGGAGAGGCTGTTGCTATGAAAGTTGGACGTGAAGATACCCAGGACACACACCTCTGTTGCGTTTACATGGAGAATTGCTTTGATCCTGGGGAGGCAGAGAGTGTCCGAAGCAGCTTGCAAGCTTTGCTAAGCGGCCTTGTCACAAAAGTAGTGGACCTGTACTTGAAGCCAGATTCTTATTCTTACTGCCAGATCTACAGAGGGAACCGTTGGAAACTCTCACCAACCTTGGCCACATGCAAGGTGCATCGTTTTAAAGGCACGACGTTGCAAGCTCTAACTCTCCAAGATCCTTTCCAGCATGACCTGCGGCGACTTGCACCCCTTCTGGAGCAGAATGTGGAAGCTGCTCTTCTGCTCCTTGATAATGCTGATTCCCGAGGTGCGATGCTGGAGTCGCTCCATGCTGTTGCCTTGCATCCCCATGCCGGTGAGCTCCCCATAATCAAGATGTGTGCCACACTGAAAGAGACCAGACATATCAAGGGCATTTTGGCCCGGGTTGGGCACATGATGCGGGGCCTCGTGGATAAAGATGCAGCCTTTATTTTGGGATTTGGCAGCCGGGTGTTTGCCCATTCTGAGTTCATGCGCATGCACTTGGCAAATGTTCGTCTGTTGGGCGACCTCTTCGTGCATGAAATCATTCCAGAAAAAGATGTACGCTATCTGGTTCTACAACTGGAGGCAGAAAGGTTAACGCTCCCTTCTCCCTCGACTTGGGCATTTGTGCTGCAGAACCTTCGAAGCATGGCTCAGGGACTGACTGAGGCAAAGCCACGTCTCAGCCGATGGCTTGGTTCCATTGTGCGCGGGTACAAGGTCAGCTCGCAAGAGCGGCTCAGAATTCTCACCCTCAATGTGTGGTTCGATGAGGAGCAACGAGAACTTCGCACTGCTATACTCCTCTCAGCTTTGCAGCAACTTGGCCCAGCAATTTTCTGCTTCCAGGAGGTGACCGAAAAGGTAGCAGTAGACATCCAACGTGCGTTTCCCACTTGGTCCTCTTCGGATCCTGGAGACGGGTCTTCAGTTGGGCACTATGGCGTGATGATTCTTAGTTGCGAGGCAGTTTCCGGCGATAGGTGCATTTTAGATGTTCAAACACAATACATAATACATGGTTTTGGTAACACAAGTGGTGACTTTTAGGTGATGATTTCATTTTCTGAAAAGAAGGATTTGATTTCTTGTTTGAGAGCTGTAAAGTGTTTCAAAAAGCATCCGCACAAAAGCATGTATAGCCCAACCAAGGATGGTGGCTCCGCCAAATCTAAATGTTTATTTTTCACGCCACTACTTACCGACGCAGATGGGGCGTGAGTTGCTCATAGCAGAATTGCATGGACTTGCGGTTGGCACAGTACACTTGGAATCGCTGGACAACCAAGCGCAGCGAGAACGACAGCTTGCTGCTTGTGCTGAGGCGGGGCTTCTGTAGCTGAGGTTCTGGTAGGCGGCATGCACAAGATGATTTCCCTACCACCATAGGCCCATTTGTTTCTGCGATTGGCAGCCAAAAAGGTCATGCAGCAGTGGCCTGATGTGCTCTTGGCGGGCGACTTCAACATTTTCCAAGAGTTTGTTGCTCAGCGCTGCTTGCAACAGCACCTGCCTGACTTCAAAGATCTTTGGCCGACCTTGCGGAAGGAGCCCGGACACACCTGGCGCTCCCATGGACAAAACAAGGGTAAGAATAGGATGGACCGAGTCCTGGCGAAGCTATCGAGTTGGCAGGCCGTAGATGTGGAGCTAATGTTTCAAGAGCCGCTGCACCCTGGACCTTACCTCCTGGACGTTCTCCCTTCCATGTGCAGCAATTGTGTGCGCCTCAACCCAGATGTGGACACCCACGCTGCCTTTGTGAGCGACCACTTGGGTTTGCTGACGACCCTTGAGCAAAATGCAACCGCGCCCAATGGCCAACAAGGTACTACGGGGCGTGATATTATTGAGGGATGATTTGAGCGTGCTTCCCCTTCAAACGCATTATTCTTGAAGAATAATTTCCTCATCATTGAGGGCAACCGGTTCGCCCACGTTTTTCTCCACGCGTTTGTTGAACGCCCCGCTGAAGGCGGAGACGGACAGAAACGCGATGGCCTGGAATCTAGAAGGAATTTGCAGAAGAAAAAAATCATCGCAAGAGGAAATATAAGAAAGATAGATAAAGGAGAGGGAATACGACTATTGATATCACAATTCTGTTTATATAATAATCGTTAATTTAAGCTTTATATATCTAGATAAATATATGAGATTCATCAAATAGAATATCAAATATGATGAAAATTCAAAAATGAATAGATATCATGATATAAAATTTTGAATATATAAGATAATGAAATGATGATTTTTTTTCATTAGAAAATGGGTTTTCTTTTCTCTTTCTTCTCTTCTCCGATAATATTCTTTATTGATTTTAAATTTCTTGAAAAGATTTATCTCGAGATGAAATCTATTTCCTAAATTATCGATTAGGAAGATACATTTCTTATATATGGGATTTCTTTCTTAATTATCGAATATTTGACATTTCTCAAAATATAGAGAAGATAATATCTAGAATAAAAGAAAAATCAATATAATAAAGATTCTTTTTAGAAGAATATTTCATTTTGATATCTCATAATTTTTCGATGAGATTGAAGATATCGATAAGAAAAATCAATTGAAAAAAGAAATTCTCAGGGAAAAGAATAGAATTATTTTTCGGGAGTCGCTCGTATATATGGGAGAAAATACTTGATATTATTGGAATCTATTTACGATTGAAATTTCTTTACTGAAAGAATAGGATAGTTCATGAAGATCGTATTTTTCATAATATCTAAATTTCTTATTTTGAAATATGAAAATAGATTGGATTGATATGATCTATTTCGTAAATATAGAAAGGAATTCTTCTATATTTCGTATATTCTCTAATTAAATGAATCTTCTTTTGATATTGATTAGATAAAAATTCTATATTATGATATTATTGATAATTTCTTCTCGTCATATGATATTGATAGAGGCACGATAGGAGATTTCGATTTTAGATATATTGATATATTATCATATATTTTTCTCATGAGATTATGAAATTCTAAATGAATTCTTAGAATATATTAGGGGAATTCGATTTAATTTTGAAGATTTATCATCTTCAAAATTTATATTCTAATATCGAAAAAAATATTTTGATTTCATAAGATCATAAGGATTCTGATAAGATATAAGATAAAAAATGATGATTATTATAATTCTATCTAATTCTCAAATTATAAATACGAATATCAAAATAAAATATGATGAAATCTTGAAATCGAATCTTCATCTGAATCCCATTAATTCAAAGAAGATAATAAGATATAATAGAAAATGAATAGGAAGATTTTTGGAATTTCAAATCTAAAAGAAATAAAGAAGAGAGAGAGAAATATTATCAATCTTCTAGAAGAGAGATATACAGAGATCATAATGATATTTTTCGATTTCTAAATTATGAGATCTCGACAATGAAAGATTAATCAAATTCCGAGGTCTCTCAAGAATATTATTTGAAGATGAGATTGGATAAATCAAAAGATAAGAAGAAATAAGGAATAGAGATAAAGATTGATAATCTATCGAGATTCTTGATATTTTCATCCGATTCTAAGATTATGGAGATTATGAAAGGAAAAAATCATAATAGAAATTCCAAAGAATTCTATTTCAAGATAATATCGAAATAGGAAATTAAATCTATATTATGAATTATCATTTTTGAAGATAAGGACGCACGATATTAGGCCGCTAGAATATAGATTAAAATCCGTTTCTCTCCCTATTTTCCGTCGAATGCTTAGAGATTCAATATCTCTCAGAAAAAACGACGATATCGATAATATACGAAATATAATTCAATAAATATCCTAGAGAGATTCTTAGATCTATGCGGTATGCAATACCTTCGGTCTCCGCATGAAGGTTATTTGATATTCAATAATAATGAGAAAAAGATAATTTAATCCAGATTTAAGAAGAAAATAACTTTCCTTGAGAATCTCCTCGTTTATATATTAAATAATATTTGATATATATTCATCTTATAATCGAGATTTATTCTAATATAAATAGAAAATATCTAATTTGATATCTATTGGGATCGTCAATCGCCTTATAATAAATATAGAATCCAATCTCTTGCTCGTGATAAGAGGGATGAATATTTTGATTGAATCTCTTTCAAATTAATATTCCTCTTCGATCAAAGATCTTTTCATAATTCGAAATAGGGAGATATTAAGAATATGAATTATAATCGGAGAAGAAAATCAATAATGATTAATGACGCAATTAAACGAACCATAAGAAGATCAATAGATCTCCTATCGCCATCATCGAGGAGAAATCTCAAGAATTCGATTTTCAATTCCAATCTTCTTCTCGATCGAAATTGGCAAATCTAATCATAGATATAATCATATATTCTCGTTTCTCAAATATATTATATGCTAAATAATGATGAATATATTGAAACGAAATTTGAAGATATCAGAAATTAATTTCATCGATATCAATCAATACCAAATAAAGACGTATAGATGATCTTAAAAGATCAAGATTCCTTGATAATCTCGATGAGAGATAATTTCAATCTACGATACGAGATTTTTCTATCGAAATCGAAATTATAAATTAGGATTTTTCCATCATTTCATATAGAGAAATTATTTATCATAAAATCAATTTTCGAAAGATTATATCGAATAATATGAGAATGATCTTTACTTGAGAAGAAATCATATTTTTATAGAATCGATAAATCCCATTTATTATATGATAAATGAAATCTCGAAATAGAATCAATTCAATGAAAAAAATCTGAAAAGAATATATTCGTATTATATATATTTTTCTAATTATAGATGATGATCTTCTTAGATCTATAAATGAATATATGATATATTGATATAATCAAAGAGATCAAGAATCGATGGTATCTTTTAATATATGAAGAAAATGAGCTATCGTAAATTTTTCTTCAAATATTGAAGATTTTTCCTATATAGATTAATATTCTATAAAATGATATATATATATTCTAGAGAGATAATTTTAATCAATCTCTCTTAAATTCATCTTTTTATATAGATTCTAAAATATATATCATAATCTATAAAATTCATCTAGAATATAAGAATCGATTCTCCATTGAGAATATTCTTCATCTTTTAATCTCAAATTTCTAATTCAATATATATATTTAAGATATTCTCCAATATTTATCTTCTATCATCATATATATAAATCTTTTGCTATTTTTTTCAAATAGATTTCTAATTTGAATCTTGATCATAGATTTTCAGATTATCTAATTCTATAGAAATTTAGAAAGCTCCCTCAAATCGAAATATATCATAATCCGAATATTCTTTGAATATTATATAGAAAATTTCTCATGGGATTCTCAAGATTCGCGATATAAGATCGATCATCAGATCTCCTATATGAGATGAAGAATTTGCTCTTCATCATTTATAAACTGCTCCTATCGATGATCAAGAAATAAGTGAATATATCATTAATTAAGAAATGAAAATAGGCAATCAAATCGATAATCGATTAAATAATCGATTTTTTATTAGAGAGGATCCGCGATTCCATCGGCGGACTTGCGATCATATGCGGCAAGCGCAATAGAGAAGGAGGCTACGTGCCAATACGATTTTAGTCGGATATTAATTTCGATCTTGAATCGACCCATCATCTTGAAGATCTGCTGAACTTTTCTAAATATATCACCCCATCGCTCCGGCCTCGCCGCGACTGACCCCCGCCCTATCATTGCCGCCTCCTCCTACCGCGCCGCCATCGAAGACCCGGGCCCGACAGACCAATTTCGGTCCGACGTCCTCCCCCCCTTCTCCTATAATTTTTTTAATTCATATCTAGTCAATTACCACGATTAATTAGCAAAATATTTCTATAACGGATAAGATAAGATCCTCCGAAAAATATTCATTAAATATAGATTCCAGAGATCTGAGATTTTTAAAAACTAATAGAAAAGAGATTGCTATTAATCTATCCAATAATTATAGATCTCCGAAATCAAAACATTTCCATATTCTCTGAATAAATAAATTCAAATTATAGAGATTCCTTTCAATAAAAAAGATCCAATATCAGATCGTATCGAACATCTATTGATCTCCTCATAAGATATCGCTCTACAATGTCGCCTCCCCGCCGCTACATGATGGATCACCGCCATTCCCAATCGCCTCCTACCGCGACCGACCGCCATCCACTCCCACGTACCACTACCGCTCCCGACCACCACTTATCGTAACCACCACCTCCACCACCACCACTATCGATCGCCACCAACACGGCTACCGATCGCCGCCGCCGCTACCGCCACGAGCCCTAGCACCTACGTGCCGGCACGGTTCATATGAACTATTATTTACGATTTTGAAACGATAATTCGTAACGAAAATTTGCTGATCTTCTTTGAATATATCGTCTCATCATTCTATCGTCCTGCCATCTACCGCGACCGTTCGCCACCTCCCACCAACTACTACCACCTATCATTACCGCCACGTCTGCCGATCGCCACTACTCGCCACCGCTACCGCCACGACGGGTCACGGGCACCAACATCGGCGCCGGCACCTCCCCCTCCGCCGCCCCCGCCCCCGCCCGCCGCCCCGCCACTACCCGCAACTATATAGATTTGCTTATTCACGCCAAGCTAGCAATACACGATTAGCTAACAGACTATTTCTAGAGAAAATACGGCGGCTGCATGCTTAATCGAAACCGATCTTCTAAAATATCCGAGATATTTTGGAAAAATAATCTCGGATCATTTTTCTAAATTTAAAAGGAATCGATTTTCTAAAATATCTGAGATAATTTAGAAAAACGATCTCGGATCTTTTTTTCCAAATTATCCTGGATATTTCGAGAATCACGGCCTA